AGGGGACATTTGATGGGGGGATTTGTTGCAAATTCTGTTTGAGTTTCCCTAATTAATAGTTATTTTCATCATATTTTCAAGTTGATTTCGGCGGTTCATGTGAAAGCCAACCTATGGATTATCACAATCAAAACAAAATCTCGGCGAATAGCGCCAACCATATTAGACTATTATATATTTATTTGTATTTTTTTTTAGCCGATCTTAAATAGTTGGGATGAGACGGATGTTAATAATAATAGCTTCTTTTTGTTTTTGTGTACTTCTGTTTAATCGCATTTGGCCACAGTTAGCATGGAAATTATTTCCCAATCCATCTAAAAGGATTGTCAAACAATGACAAGTTGATATTGACAAAGAATGGGTCCCAATTATCACAATGGGGATTCCACTAAAGAAAGCTGTTTGTATGATACTTTTAAGGGATGATTCCCATTGTGCACCGATTTTTTTAATGGAAAATACCAAATAAAACCATAGAAAACATCAGTCAAACCATATAATAGAAAATCACCGCATTTGATATTAAAACAGTTTCTTTTTTGAGTTTTATCAAAACAAATATATTAAAAAACGACCAAAATGCCCATATTCAAGATTAACAACTCTGAGAGGGCAGTGAAGGTGTAAATATGTTTGATCAACCTACTCCGGTCATAAAATGAGTCGTTGGACCTAGAAAGGGGAATTTTCGTCAAGTTCAGTGGTACAGTTTGTGTCCCAAAGACGGACTTCATGTATTCTGTCTGTCTGTCCCACTTATCTAAAAGATATTGTCCCTGGTGATAAAAATGACCTCCATTCGCCTAATCCAAAAAATCATTGCATATCCAAATAAGAAGTTCCTGTAGATGAATATGAAGAACTGGTGAATGAGTGTGAAGAATGCTTACGTGACGGGTGACTTGTTAAAGGAAATCGATTAACCAAAAGATTTTGTATTCCCTAGCTATATTCTTCCCAATGATAAGAATGACCTCTATTGTCTAGTCCTAAAAATCACTACATATCTGAAGTTTTTCTAGATGAATGTGAATATTGCTTCTCCAACTAGTGATTTGTTAATGGAGATCAAGCAACCAAAAGATTTTGTAGTCCTTGACCTTGAGATTAGAGAGTGCATGGTCAAAAAGTTTATAAATAGTTTCGGCAATCACCAAGTCAGTGGTATATCAAAATCAAAAGGTCATTAAAATGTTATGTTATATAAATTAAAGGGAAAATAGCTTCATATCCTCTATTTTTACATTTTATTTCTTAATAAACCCAAAGTTTCAAAAAATATCTTTCAACCCCTTGGCTATTTAAAACCTATTTTTTAACCTAAACAAATGTGAGAAAGACATGTTTTTTTTAAACTCAATCATTTCTCTCCCTTCATTTATATACCCTAAACTTATCTAAACACCTCTCTCTTCCCGTATTTATCCAAAAACATCTCTCTCCTCTTGGTGACCTCTCACTACCAAGCATCTCTCTCCTCCCGTATTTATCCAAACACCTCTCTCTCTTCCTGTGTTTATCCAAACACATTTCTCTCACTTCTAGTAACGTCTCACCACCAAGTATATCTCTCCTCTTGTGTTTATCCAAACACATCATTCTCTCTATATACTTATGTGTTTCTTCTTTCTATATACTTGTGTGTATTTGGAAGGAGAGAGTGAAGGAAGAGAGATAGAAAACGTGGAGAGAGACTCTATGTTCTTGTGTTTATCCAAACACATCTCTTTCTCTCCGTATATTTAAGTGTATTTGGAAGGAAGGAGAGTGACGGGAGAGAGATGGGAAATGGGGTGAGAGAAAGTCTTTCTTTCTATATACCTGTGTATTTGGGAGGAGAAAGAATAAAAGGAGAGAGATGGGAAATTTGTAGAGAAAGAGATCGGGACTTATATGTATTTGGGAGGAGAGAGAGTAAGGAAAAGAGATGGGAAACATGGAGAGAGAGAGAGAGCGAGAGAAACGAGGGAGGGATTAAAGATGGGAAAGACAAAGAGAGAGAAAAGGTGCAAGGAGAGAGAAAGCGAGAGAACTTTGGGAATATGGCTTTTAAAAAAAGCATGCTTTTTTAGATTTGTTTGGTTAAAAAAAAATTAGGTTTAAAATAATTCAAGGGGTTAGAAGAAATAAAATCTACCATTTTTATGCTTCAAGATATCTTTTAAAACCTTTGATCTATCGTGAAATGAAACTTAAAAATACAAAATATTGAGATATTTTTCCTAAATTAAAATTAAGCAAAGAAGACACATGGAGTGAGATTAAAAATCTAACGTTGGGTTTCGGACTTCGGGAGAGGGTGGGTGGAGGGAGAGAGATGGATGACACAATCCAAAAGTTAATTCGAGAGTTTGAAACATGCAAACATAGATCATTGATAACTAAGACTCTCTCTCTTAAACCCTCTCTCTCTCATTTCTCTTTTCCCAAAGCTATGTTATATAAATATATATTTCTTACTCCCATCTCCCCTAGATATTGGATTCCTATCAATTTTCTTTGGGTTAACCAACTCTTTTTCTCTTTTTTCAATATCTATATCTATTGCTTAAGATCAATTTCTTATGGAAGGGAAATGATTTCCTTCTGAAAACGTAAACAAAAAACAATTACTTTTTAGTACGAGGGGTCACAATCACTCATGTATGTCAAATTTCAAATCAGGTAGATGTATTGCATTGACTAAACTTCAAAAAAAATTATCAAACTTTGGACACACTTGAAGCCATCCAATTTGACATCTAATGACTAGTAGCAATTGTGACCTACTTGTAACAAAGATGAATGATTTCATGATATACAATGTCTTTACTTATTATGTCAGGTATATAAGTCATCAAAAACCCACAAGGACCGCATTTCATGGGTTGATTTAATCCAAAATCAGTAGAGGAACTTTGAAATGAAGAGAAGAGCACTACTCTTGCACAAAAAGGGAGAAAAAAAAAAATAGCATCGAAAGGAATACATCTGTAGAAAAAAAAACAAGCGGAAGACCCATAAAACACAGCTACAGCTTAAAGAAGAAAGAATGAATTCAAATGAATACTTTGATCACGAGCTCGCTTGAGATGCTTGTCGGCATTGCTCGCTCGATACACCTATCAATATTGATGACAAGCTCACCCAATATGTTTGTCACAATCGGTACAATGATCGGAAACGTCGACGTTGTCTGATCATCACGATAATTATCAAGGGTTTCTTTACTATCAAACCTCCTTTCTCTCTTGCAGACAGGTCAATTAATACATATGGTTTTTATAGCTCCTGCTAAACTATTTTACTCCTTTTACTTTTCTCTTTGTTTCAAGTTTTTATAGAGGAGAGAATGAATGTGAATAGTTCTTATTGTTTCTGCTAAATTATATTTGTCTCAAGGTTTTTTTTATCAAAAATATTAGTTTTAGGGTATGCCCTTACGTCTTTACATAGGTTGTATTGGCTAGCTTTTCATTATAAACATAGAAACCCTCCCTTTGAGCCATATCCTTTCCCATTCCTCTATATTTGTTAGGAAAAAGTTTACATAAGGATGCAACCTTATAATGCTGAACTACGGATGCACCTCAAAAATCCATCGGAAAAGGTAGCTTTAATATTGAAAAACCCTTCGATTGGTCATCTCGACATCGAGATGTATGACCATGAAGAATAAAAATATTTTAAGTCTAAAAAATAATACATTTTACAACATATTATCTACACCGTCCATTTTCAAGATTTCATATGTTTATAGATCTATTTGATTTTATCCATTTTTAAAATTTAAAATTTTATAATTAGATATAAAAATAGATTTTCAGATAATCCTAAGAACATTTTACATCAAAATTATATACCATTGAAGGTGCATCTTACCTCTAAACCTACAGATGCCAACCGTACGCCAACTGCACCCATTGCTGATTTGTATTTTAAATTTAAATTGATTTTCTTCACATGATTTTGTGTTTTAAATTTAAATTGTTCGTCTTCATGTATGCTAATGGCTCTTTCATTACACTCCACAAATGGCTCTTTCCTAACAAAATATCCTGTAGCTAATTTAGATCAATTCAAATATACTTTTTCATATATCAAATAGCTCTGTCAATCCACTCTTCCTAATCCACCTAATCCACCTAATCCACTGAGATTTATTTAGTATGTTAATAATTTTGTATCTACTAACCCCGAATGGTTGAAATAAGGCTCGGAGGATGATGAAAAACAATTTTCCATTCCTAAGTTCTTTCAGAGAGATTTATCCATACATATAAGGCCACATGATGTATAGATTGAAGACATACTGAGATGTTAGGAAGTCCTATTCTCTACAGTACTCCTTTAAAATAGGTTTGGACAAGTGTTAATGACATGATATAAAAAGCAAGTTCAAATGAGATGCTTAAAAAGATATATATCATTCATTCATTTAAAACTTGGAAAATTTCAAACAGCTGAAATTTTTTTTTTGGGACATGAAAAGATAACTTGCAAATTTTCATTTTTATTGGCTACAGGCTATGCACCTCACATTCTCACTAGAAACACTCAAACAAAGTTCATAAAAACCAATATTAAGGTTCGGATTGGCTAGGGCCTCAACAGATAAACCTAGTATATTAAAAAACAGTTAGGGTTTTAACAGAAAAGATGTCCCCAATATTTATTCTAGGAAAATTATACAATACGACATGTTTATTTTTCGTACAGTCATATTCACCACTGATTGGTAGATGTCAAATCGAGTGATTGTGATTGTCGCTCAAAGTTCAAATTTTTGTTTTTCAAAGTTTTAATGGCTAAAGATGAAAATGACCTTGTGCATAGAAATATAGTCTCATAGCATATAATCCCTTTATTTTGAGACATCGGATATTTCACCCATTAGATTTTATTCTTGAAAATCTGAGCATCCAGGTGAACGTTTCGTTTTTTTGGGGAAAAAAAAAGAAAAATGGGGGGTGGGAGTGTGGTCGGGTTGGTAATGTCCTAAATGTCTCTCTCCCATGACCAAACAATGAAATTTAAGGGATATACAAGTAAAGTAGTTTTCTAATTCTTTTATAGGACACTATGAAATCAATTTCCTCTTACACACTATCCCTAAATTTCCTCTCATTTTACCCTGCCTCCCCATATAATGGCAATAGGGCTCGGAAGATGATTTTCTCCTGCCTCTTGCAGTGTCTCTTATCTTGTCTTCTTGTTTTGTACAAGCGCATTATGGCCACCTATTTCTCCTTTCCAATTTCCTCGGTAACCAAACCAAAACAAATGCACCCAACACAAAAACGAATAACTCAAACACAAGAGAAACAACAACCATACCATAGGTTAAACTTGACGGGCTGGTCTGACCACCAATTGGTGCCTTAGCCGGTCTGTTGTAGAAATTGGATTTGGTAGAAAGCCAATCAACCAATGTTTGCTAAACAGTGAGCTTGCTCGACCCCGTAAATTGATTTCTTCAGTTTGCATGTATAACGGTATATAAAGGATCCTCGAATCCTCTAGGATGCAGCATGTATACTTCCTCCTTTTGTTCACCATGAAGAAAGGCATTTTCAAATCAAGTTGGTGAAGCTTCCAACTAAAATCTGGAAGCAAATATCCAAGATGCATCAAATAGGGGGTACGTTAACTGTTCTAAAGGTTTCATCATAGTCAAGACCATATTCCTATTTAATCCCCTTCGCCACTAGTCTTGATTTTAATCTTTCAATTGAACCATCTGATTTGACATTGACTTTATACATCCATTTTGAGCCCACAACGTTCTTTCATGTTGCGACAGTACCAACACCCATGTAATTCTTCATGAGTGCCTCTTTCACAGATGCTAACCATCTAGTGCCAAAGTAAGTGTCCTCATAGGGGATTGGTTCTTGAATTTAGAAAGCTCAGTTGAAATTTGCAAATACTAAATGACCTAGAATAACAAGGTACAGTTTCTATCAGTATTTGAATCTTGCAGTTTCAATTGAGATATTTTAATGAACAGTACCCACATACTAACCATGATAATATAAGAATCTCGGAAGATGTGAGAGCAAAAAGAGTGACATTATGGTGTATGCAGGTTCTCCAACAATAGCACCACAGTAGGATCCTCCAATGATGTAGGTATGGTTGCGGAAGAAGTATCCAAGCTTGATGAAGTATGAAGAATGAAGTTAAAATTTAACGAGGAAAGAGCTTGTGGATCACACCTGTCTTAGTGGGGAGTTTCTTGCTCAAAATGAGAGTACTGAGCTGGCTCATCTACTTCTCCATGAGAAACAGAAGTTTGAGAATGTTCTTCGTGTTGCAAACAAAAAGGCATTGATACAGGCACAACTATTTCCTTTGAGAGATAGCTGCTGAGTTTGATGTTAGGCAATGTTCATTAAAATAGAAACTCGTTTCATCAAAGGTTGCGTGCTAGAGACAAAGAAACAATGAGATACCTAGTCATAACACTGGCAACCTTTATGGTTTAAACCAACCCAAAAAACCCACAATCATGAGCTTTATGATCTGTTTCTGTAGTACGCACTAATATGTGGGAAACAAACACATCCAAAAGTATCAAGGAAGGAGTAATTAGGTTTACTATTAAAATGCTTTAGCAAAGGATATTTGAAAGACTGGGTAGTACTTGATAAAAAGTAATTGTGGCAAGCCACTTGCATAAATCAGGTTAATCTGGGATCAACTACTTTCATCAATGTGGCAGTGCTTGATGAAGAATTCCATGACAACTTAAATATTCTTTACAAGCATAAGAAGTAAACTCACCAGCGCCATCTAATGGAATGTCTTAAGTTTGCAGGAAAATTACCAAGGCATGGAAATTATGCAATCAATCAAATTCATCGGAATTTTGTTTTAAAAACTATATCCAAGCGTATCAAGTATAGTAATCTACAAATATTACATAAAAGCGAGAATCAGTAAAGGAAATAACTGGCACTGGGCCCTAATAACACTGTGAATTCAATCAAGAGGAGAATGTTTATCAAAATAATTAAGAAGAAACTCATAATGATTGCCTCATTGGCAAGATGAATGCAAGGAGCGAAAAGGCAAATCGCCAACAAAGTTTGGGAGAGCTTTGCCTAATTGGCAAGATGAATACAAGGAGCAAAAAGGCAAATTGACAACAAAGTTTGGGAGAGCTGACTTTCTTCCCAAGCCACGAACAATAGAGTAACTAGCATGACCCGGACAAGCATGCCACAAAATGTACAGTTTTCCTTTAGCTTTAGAACTGCACATAGCCAAAACAAAGGGACTTTTATCTTGGAGTACAAATATGCCTTCTCCCATCACCCAAATAGCAATTACCTTCCTGGCTTTGTTGGTCCTTCACAACCATAAGGAGAGAATTCAAAGGAACACTTGAAATCTTTTGGAAAATTAAATATAGATAAGAGTTGCTTCTTTATTTTGGGAAGAAGTAAAACACTGGGAATATGTAATGAAGCAAGAGAAGTGGAAATAGAAGCAGTTTTAATATGAATTATGGGAAGCGCTATACCATCTCCTATAAAGACAATGCAAGAATTGTAATAGGAACCATACCTCGAACTTGAGAGTTGTCATCTTTCATACGAGCAATTGTAATTGTGTCAAGAACCCAAGATCAATAAGTTGGAGCAGCGGTTGACAGGTTACCAAGGTCATGGGCTAAGGCAGAACAATATCTAGCAACATGACCAGGTCGTCCACAATATTGGCAAGTTATACGTGTTTGCATAGCCACTTGTGGTTGTTGACGCAGAGATTGACAGTGGGATGGGTCGGCTCCAAGAATGCCCAGTTGATCCTGAATATGGCCTTTGCTTCCATGACATCAACGTCTCGGCCATAATCACCTCTATGCGATCCTGAGGTGCTGACACGAGCTTGAGGATTTTTCTTAACCAATTGAGCTTCATATGAAAGTAGAGAGGATTGAAGCCCAGAGAATAATGGGAATGAGGGCATAGTCATATAGGAAGTCCTAAAGGACTTAAATTCTGGACCAAAACCTTGAAGAGTATACAAAAAGCATGTCCAATCACTGACTATGCTACCAATGGCTAATGCTTGGGTGGTTTTTGTGTCACTCTAGATATTAATAAATGTGTTGTTTGTATCAACCTAAAACATATTAATAAGTATGTCTTGGACACATATTCAGGCATGTCATACACAACAAGTTTCTAATATTGCACTTCAAGGATTCAAATGAACACATATAAATGCTTCAGCATGAAATTCAAGGATTCAAATGCATCTATTGTGTGATGCAATCGGATATGCGCCTTAATCATCTTGGTATTTCTTGGAACCTACCGATAATTGATAGTCAGCATTACATGGATACTGACACAAGTGTCAATATCTTGTACGTATTGGGTTGTCTAGTACATGGGGTCAAAAAGCTGGTACTTCTCCCATACATCTGTACAATATGTAGGCTTAATGTAATACAACAATAGATATTCGATCACCTATCTTATGGTGGGTGCTCTAGTATAATGGACCACTTTTTATACTTGTATGTACGTAGTTACATCCCATGTGTTGCAGTATATATGTTACATATATTAAATAACTCAATAATATATAGTATAAATTGGCACACTTTGTATACATAATTATGACTGAAGGTTGGTAGACTACAACATGCTTACACCTGACGATTGGTGTTCCCCACAAGCTTGCTTTTTGCTACAGCATAAATGCATTTATATTACCAAAAAAAGAGCTCAATTTGAATTGCCAGGATTAGAACCGTAGACCTCTTGAGTACAAGGTGAACATTGGTGCAACCCCATAGGCAATATGAATTTTGCAATATAAAAATCCACGACACGTGTGTTTGCCATAAACTCAAGAGTTCATGATGCCACAGACACGTACAGTTACTTGTCACCACGTTCTGTACATGTAGACACATGACAGCTTGCGACACCAAGTGAAAGGAAAGGTGTCCAGGCAATGTTGTCGATAGCATGCTATGTGTGTGTGTGTGCGTGTGTGTGCAAGTGTGTAATTGCAGTCACTAATTGATTTAGGTTAGCATGACATTTGATGCACTAGTATCTTGCTCGAACTACCTGACTATGTGCTATAGGAGAACATGATCTTCTCGATAGTTGACTCTGTGTGGTTATTAAAACCTAGGTTAACCGATAAAACAGAGGAAAATCCTCAACATCCCGCTATCACGTATAAAATTTACAATGTGTTTCATCAACGGAGAGATGAAATATTTATGTCCTTAATGTAATTGGAATAATAATGCCAAATTAAGGATCAAGTTTACATAAGTGATCAATACTATGCTCATGCCTTGTGTGGTCAGCGCCTGGTATAACTCATTCCAATATGGCTTAGGCTTGTGACTCATCACTAGCATTTTTGTGAACCATACCTAGCCAAAATTGTCACAATTGCGTCATGACACGCTCTATAAAGTCTATGGAAAAAGACTTGCATAGACAAAGTATGTAATGTTCAATGTTGGTCAATGCAGCATTTGAATTGACAGCTTGGCAATAAGCAGGCGACTTGGCAGTGCATCAGGCACAGGCTGATATTGCAATAGAAAGTGGATGACAACATTTCACATCGCCCTAGAGCTGGCAATGGCGGCCTGGCCAGGCTGCCCAGCCCGGTCGCCCAGTCCCGTCGCCCCAGCCTTAAAAAAGTGGGGCTTGAGCCACGAACTATGGCCCGAGGTATGGGCTAGGGCAGGTGCCAGCTTTGCTTGGCCTAGCCTTAACAAGGCCAAGGCCGAGCCTGGGCAGGCCCTATGGGGATAAGAGCCAGGCCAGGGCCAAGGCTGGCCCGGCCTGTAGCCACCTTTCTGCATCGCAAAATCTGCTATTGAATGAAGCTCCACATTCTCAGCAGAAGACTAAATAGTGTCCAACATGGGCGCTAGGCACTAAGTCCACCTTCTCAAGGACACTTGTCAATATTCCAAAGGTCGGGCACATAACCCACTCCCTCAGAGGATACATGTCTCGCTTAGAGGAGTTGGATGCACATTTGTAAGGTTTCAATAACCGTCCTTCAACATGTCAACGAATTTTATCCGCCCACTACTACAATAACCACCCCACTACAAGAAATTTTTTCCACTAAGGGACCCTCAAAAAAGTCAATATAAATGAGCTTTGTAGGAATCTACAACGGAGATAAGTGAGGGTAATACCAACAAAGAGATAATATGAGAAAAACAAGGGACAGAGTGGACAGAAGAAAGAAAATAGATTGCAAAGGTGCATCATAGTAAGGAACGGAAAAAAATACATCAAGTATAAGAAAGTATAAGTGAGGAGCAAGTTATATGGCAAAAAACCCATGATGTACTATCTTCTCCTAACTTTATTCCTTTTGTTAAGTATTTTCTTTCTTCTTCTCTCCCACAATGTAATGAATTAAACAGCGGTGTTTTATAGTAGCGGATTTCAGATTTAAAACAAACTTGGGGTTGGGACTGTAATCCCCAAATCTAAATAGAAAATCCCTTGCTTGGGACGAGCTTCTTTCTATTCAAATGTGTATGCATCCTTGCAAAATGGAAGTATACATGTTTTTAGCAAACAACTGACAGATGATCACATTTGAAGCTATTCAAGTACTATATGATTAATTATGAGCTCCTTTATAGACTAATCAACTCAGTTTTAAGTTGAAGAATATTAGCAAGGGTTTCTAATTGATATGTATTGTATAAAGTTTTCAATACTGCTTGAGATGTTTCAAGTGCCTTACTTCAATAAGAAAATCATCCAACAAAGTAGAAAGGAAACATCTCAATACGATTTTGTCTTTCATTAGCTGTTGCTGCTGTTCTAAATGTTTAGGATTTATCCCTAGGTTAAACCTTGATACTGTTTTTGTGAGCTGAGGTAATTGTCTCTATGCAACTTAATAGAAATAAAGTATGGAAAGAACATCTTGTTCTTAGACCACAATAGACCAATTGTTGTCCAAAGACGAAATTGTCGACCCTTTGTACTCTGCCTCTAAATAGTGTGGTGTGGAAGCCATGCGACATGCTGACATGGCAATGCAAAAGCCCATGGCACCCACATGTCCCTAGAGGATTCCAGAAGCCAGTGTCACCTAGACACCTTGCCTTCGCTTGGTGTCATGTGGCAACACTTGATTGCACGTGTCTGCTAACATAATCACCATTTGAGCACATATTGACACTTTTTATTAAAGTATCGTGCTTCTTTCAACACTAAGGTCATAATGCCCATCCGACAACACAAAAAGTTATTCAGTATATAAATCATAAAATGCAATCCATGGGGATGGCACTTCATTTTGTCAAGCATAACAGTTGGCTGAATATCTACAGTTATTTATATAAACTATAAATCTATTTCTTGTATAAACATGTTAGACAAACACTAGCTTTTTGTTCCAAAGTACTAGACACCCCAAATTGTAGTAGATATTGACACTCATGTAACACTGCCAGAAGCAAGTTCCCACCATTTTGACTCTTGAAATTCGATCTAAAAGTTAAAAATCTATAATAATTCTATTTTGAGTATAATCAAATATATTAGGTAATTTTCAGCTGAATTTCAAACCAATAAGATGCCTTACTTCCAATTTTCAAGTGATTTGCAGTTCTAATATTTTGTTCGAAGTCCAAATAACAGTTTTTGATGGGTTTAAGTAATTTTGGCAAAATTTCCTTTCAATATCCATCAATCAGGTCCCAATTCGCTTCAATATTTGATAAAGTACCTCATGAGAAGATTTCAAGTAATCGGATGGCTAGGATTCCATAACAATACTACATAATGTGGTGCGGTTACATCTGGTTTCCCCAGATGTTTCAGGTGGTTCAATAATGCTTTTTCAAATTATTTTGCCTATATGTACCACATTTTGAGAGAATTATCTGACTTTTGGACCCTTGGACAATTTCTAACAATTTTCAACTTCAAGTCCTTAAGAGTTCTAGAAACCTAACATACTAAACTCTAATTCCTAAAACCATTCACATGACCAAAATATTCAAGAGACCTAAAGTAAGACCTTCAAAACCCAAGTCAAGTGAAAACCCTTAAGACCCCTGATCCAAGATGACAATCCTTGATCAAAACGCTAAGGTCTTAGCCTTTTCCCTTCCAATCTTTGAGCAAAAATCCTGCAAGCCTTTCAATCCATCATTCAATTCAATTGTAAGATTCCATTAAACTCTATTCAAATAGGAAAAGGCTCTAATCCAGGCCCCAGATTTGGAGTCGAGCCTATGACATGGTACCATAAGTTTTTCATTGTCTTCCTTGATTTCTTGTATTTTCTCTTCATCTCTCATTTATCCGTTTTCAGTTTCAAAGTTATTTTGCTTTTGTAATTTGACAATCCATGTTTTCCCATTTTCCCCATACTGAAGTTGACTTTCAGTTTATGTCCATATCAGAGAGAACGCATCTAGGATTCCTCATCCAAATTTAGATAAACAATTTGACATTCACCATGAGCTTATGTTTCGCCCAAGCCAAACTTGAGCAATATTTTTCAGCTAGACAAACCAAGCCTAGACAAGCATGCTAAATAAAATTCCAGCAAAGTCAAACTAGGCATGACTTTGTTTAATTTACTATGTAAACAATATATAAAAGAATGTAGAAATGAATATTCTATATAATGACCTCACCTAAATTCAAGACTCAAGATATTATATTATATAGTTTAAATATTTTTTATACAGTACTATTTATGTTTTTATACTTCACTTGTTCTTGGCTCGGGTTTGCTCATCTATGGCCTCACTTAAGTAAGCAAGTCAAGCTAAACCAAACTCAAGCTTACCTTCCATTTAATCAAGCCAAGCTCAAGCAAGGTGGTCAAGTTTTATACTTCACTTGTTCTTGGCTCGGGTTTGCTAATCTATGGCCTCACTTAAGTAAGTCAAGCTAAACCAAACTCAAGCTTCCCTTCTAATTAATCAAGCGAAGCTCAAGCAAGGTGGTCAAGCTCTAGCCAAGGATGAGCTGGTGCCTTGCCAATGCAACCCAAGCTTGAACATGCCCAAACTAGGTTTGGCTCAGTTTGAGGACATACCTACCAAGTTGATTCCACATTATGAGCGATTTGCTAGACCGAGGGCACCTGGCAATCAGACATATGACATAAGAGTTTAACTAAGCCTGAAACGAACCATTTACCAAAAGTTTCACGACAAGATGATTGGTAAATTCAAATTTTGGTTTAAATTTAAACATGTACACTATAGTTTCATGATATCCTGGGGTAGATCCATCCTAATTGAGAAATTAATTCGGGAATAGAGCGTCATTTGGGGACATTGAAATGGAACGATTTATCAAAAATTTTGGTCACAATAGTACTAACACTCCATTGGAAACTCAGTATCTTTTGACGGTTTGCTCATCCCACCTTATTACTCTAGTATGCATACTCCATCCCATTGATTTAAAGCCCAAAACAACTGGACTGATTCCCAAATAGGATGGGCCGTTTTAAATCATTGGTCCACCCAAAGCAGTCTATACTGGTTTTTTCATATTATTCTCCCACATTGAGATAGTAACCTTGTGAATGTCCTATTTATGGGCGAAAATATTTTAGCAATAATTGTTAATCCACAAGAAGATGTCTGAAATTTTTTGGCTTATTGCCTTCAATATTGAATGATAGAACCAAAACATGACAAATTTGAGAAAGGAGGTGGTTTTCATGTGTCAGTTTACTCACCTTATTCAAGTATGATCACTTTCCGAAATCCACCTTAAATGGATTTTGACTTAAACTTTAAAATAATGTTATCAAGATCGAACCGGCCATCGAACTAGTGGGGGATCTGGTCTAGTTAAAATCGGTCTGACCATTGGTTGAATCAATTGAAAAGGATTTTAGACAAATAAAAAACAAATAAAAACAATAGTTTAAAATATAAAATATATTAAAAAATTATCCTACTTTGTTAAGCCGATCGAACTGGTCAAAATTGATTGGTCCAACTAGTTAAAATTCGTCAAACATTGGTTTTGACCGGCTTTCTACTAAACCTGATTTTTGCTTTGAACCACACCCACCAAGGCACCGGTCAACAGCCCAACTGGTTGGACCAGCTGGTCAAGTCCAATATTGATAACTATGATTTGAAGCATAACTATCACATCCAAACCAAACCGCCTGATCCGACAAGTGAGATGCCAACCAGTGCCTTGGCCAGTCTGGTCCAAAACAAAAATCAAGCACGGTAAAAAACCAATCAAAACCAATATTTGACTAATTTTGAGAGGTGGGCCAGTCAATTTTGACCAATCAAACTGGTTAAACAAAGTGGTATATCCTTTTTACAATATATTGTGTTTTTAAACTATCATCTCTATTTTTTTTTATTTTAAAAATCCGATACTAGTGGTTCAATTGGTGACCGAAACGGTTTTGACTGGACCAGATCCCTCACCAATTCGGTGTCCGGTTTGATCTTGATAACATTGATTTAAAATGTCAATTATCTCAATCACCATGATATTGAATCTGAATTTTTTTATTTAAAAAATAGATGATTTTAGACTTTGTTTTTAGAACATTTTTTTACCATTCATGTTAATTCTTTTAAATTTATTTATTTTTAAGGTTTCCCCTTCTTTTTTATCAGATTCATGATCGCCATAGTCTAGATCATCGACTCGTGAAATTTTAGAATCAAAATCCTTCTCTAAGATGGATTCCATAAGGAGACCGCACTTGAATAAAAATACACCAAAAAAATTTCCTTCAAGAAAAGACACACTTATTTTGGAGAGGATGAGGTCTGAAAAAATTTATTTTTCCAAGAGATCACATAACATAAGATTGAAGAGAGTGTGTCAAGTGATAAACTCGAATTGAAGAACTTTAAAGCCTCCTTCACACATCAGCATCACCAAATGGTCCAGCAGTGCTATCTGCTAAATGTAACAGTCTTCAACCTTCTGCAGCTTAAGCACTTGACTTCAAAGAAGCAAACCAAGTGTAGAGTCTAATCTGAAAAAAAAAAAAATTCGGAAAGAGGGATTCATCCTTATTCACATAAACCAGTGTGCGCGGATTGGATTTAATCATATAGTTTCATGTATAGAACAAGCTCATGTTTGGTAAAGAAGGAGTTTAAAGACAAAATAACAATAACCAGGTAGGAAAGATTTTAGAGTTTAATGTAATACTATTCTATCAAGCCAAAACATATCCGCCTTCTCATGCAGGAAGGATCTTAACTGCTTAATAAATTCAGAGAAATTTATGCTAATTTCCTCTAAATTACTGTTATTTAATAATTCCCCAAAAAGTATGATTTTATGTTCATACAAATTTTTTTTTTTCAAATTTCTAATTCTTTCCCAAATTCCCCTACTTCAGACCTTGACAGTCCAAAGTTTAATCTTTTTTTGCTCATAAACTTACTTCAGATCCTAAAAGTCTAAAGCTCCAAATGATTTGAGACATGGAAACAATGAAATTCAAATGATTGGAGACATTAGAGTAAGCTTTTACCTCCAGTGCTATCGTTTGTGGCCCTGAGTTCTTTTTCAAGCTTGACATCCTGAGGAAAGAGATTAGATGAACAATAACTGATTGATCTGAACCAAGAAATTCAAGAATGTTTTCCGCTTCCCTTAATATTTATGCAAGGTTCTAGGTGCCATTGTATTTGTTCTCTTTCGGTCATTATTTCCTAATAATTTCTGCATATAAATAATTTTGTCACAATAAGGTTAAAAAAAGGTCATAAATACCCTTTCTAGGTGGGGCCCAAGACCAATACTGTCAGTATCAACCGATATATTGGATATGAAATCTGGAAGCATAATTGTTACCTAAAAAAAAAAGTACAATGGGTGATATTTCAGAAGTATCAAATATGGTAGAGCTTTATAATGGATATCGAGGGAGTACTATTTGTATTATTATTCACTTTATTTCCAAAGAAATGAACATGATCAGAACTATAAATGGATATTGTGGAATATATTTCTAAGATATATTGGTATAACAGGATCTATTTTGGATACAATGCAGTTTTCTTTTTAAAATATCAAAACCTATATATCAGCCTTCACACTGATATAGATTGGTAAATATATTTGAAAAACTAACACAATTTGACCATATCGCCTGATAGTCTAGTTCTCAAAACTGTGACCATATAGTGATGAGCAAGATCTGGAGTTGACGCATCGGCCTAGATATCCCATTTGATGACAGATGTTTGAAAAATGGCCACAATGCATTTGTTGTTTCAAGAGTCATCTAGCACCATAGTCATCACAATACAAAGGCGGAGAACCAGAACGCATAAAAGCAGGTATGTTCAGAAGTAGGAGAGCACAAAAAAGATGATGAACTAAGTGTCATGAAACAAAATAAGAAATGAAAGATGCACCCTTGTCAGAGTTAATCTTTTTGAATTATGAGAATGAATTCCATTTTAAGCTTCTACGCCTGTTTTAGATCAGGTACCAATCTCTTTGAATTATGAGAATGAGCTTCATTTTAAGCTTTTATACCTTTTATAAAGCAGGCACTATTTTGAGCTTTCCATCTGTTATAGTAGAGGGACCATTTACTTTCTCATGATAAAGCAGCCCCCAGGGAATCAATGGGGAGGATTGCCCATAGATAACACATGCTTCTCATGATAAATCCATAGGAGATTTAATTTAAAGAAAGCCCTCAAACCTATTGTAATGAAGGCTTGGATGGAAAACAAAGGGGTGCTGCTTGTAAGCCTCTCTTGTATATGCTGCAAGTAAAAAAGAAATAATGAGATATCGAATAAATTCAAGCATAATGCAAGGTAAATTGATTACATTTTAAGATTCATCAAATCCTCGATCGAAGATACCTAGCACCCCACCGAAGAACTCTTTCAGCTATAACTTCATCTTCATGTCTCTACCTCTCGATAGGGGGCACAAATCTGGACCGTCCACAAAAATGGTGCCATGGCAATGGCCTGGAACGCCGTTGTATGAAATCTGGCTGACCCCTAGATTCATGTAGCAAATGAGTGGCAAAATGCATCAAAGTTACACAAATTCTATATGTTGATATATAAATAACATGGGTATCATTAAATCAAAACACAAGTCAAGAAGGAAACAAAGATTAGTACCATCATAGCATATAAGAAGAACCCATAAAATATACATTACACAAAATTTAAAAACACTAAGCATATATCTGGCATGCCATTATGTTTTTCTATTTAATCTTCATAACCTGGGTTGAACATATGGCTATAATGGATTGTGGGGCCATAATTGGGCCATCAAATCCTAGAATATAAAGATGATTTGCTGCATAATATTGGTTCCTACATATTGGGAACATTGTGATAATTACAGATGAACCAAAGTGCATGAGCATTAAGCTATCTAACAAAGAAAAGGGATTGAACAGGCTCAGATATTTACTTCAACCCTGACCACGGGTTGATCAATAATTCACTCAGATTTTCACTAAACTTCTTGCAAAAATAAAAAAAAAACTCCACTTAAGGACCAAAGCCACAGCAGAAAAATACACATCACAGATGTTTTCTTGTTGTTATCTACTGCTAGTCGAATAATTTGTTTAGCAATCAATATCTTTGCTAATACTGCAAAACCATGAAACCCTAGAAACCAAATGGGGCAGGTCTTTTGCTGAAGGGCCTTCGCAATACAATACGAATCCAATTGTCCATTCTAAGCTTTCTGGAACTGAAAACCCTAACTGATGATGTGAATGACGAAGAAGAAAACGATAAAGCAGCGGAAGATGTTGGGACTCAGCCGTCATTCCCCTTGTACAAATGGACCAGCCCAGTATTGTCTTGACGTGGTCCTTTTTTTTTTTTTTTCTTTTTTTTTTTTTTTTTTTGGGTTTCGTTTGTATTGAGTGGTGGCTTTAAATAATCAAAATAAAACGCACCTTCAAATAGTATCGAGAGTTGTGGTTTCAATACCGAAAATATTTGTAAGAGCTTTATAATATATTTTCCATCTCTAACTATAAAATTTAAAGCTTCAAAATTTGTGCAAATTGAGCAAATCTATAAGAACTCGAAAATCTTGAAAATTAACTGTTGTATTATTTCTAAAACTTAAAATCTATTTTTTTCTTATGTCTATGAAAACAACCTCTTATAATGAAAGTTTTGAGGATCGCTCTAATTTGATTGTTTAGGGCCTCGTATCTATATAAATTTTGGAAAAAATTACAAACACTGCCCCCTCAAAATATACTATTTATACAACTTACCCCATCCAAACATTTTTTTTCACTTTTTTCTCAAAAGTATACTTTCTATGCAAATACCCCCAACCAAAAAAGTTCTTTTTTTTTTTTATGAAATGCTCTTCCCGTACAAAAAAATCAATTGGCGCTGACTATCGGACCCAAGTAGCACATTATCGAAGTGCAATATGCAACTACCGGAGCATACTATCTAGAACATATAATGCTGGAGAGCCCTTGGATACTGCCGGAGCGCTGTGACTCTAGGACAAGTATTGCCGGGAGCCCTATTCAAATGCCGGGGCGCCTCATCTCCAGAACAAGCACTGTCAGAGCACGTTTTGCAAATGCTGGAGTGTTGTCGTCTCCAAGACATGCACTGTCGGAGCACATGTGTCTCGAGTGCCAGAGCGATGTCTCTCGAGTGCCGGAGCGCCCCATGCAATTGCCAGAGCGTTGTGGCTCCAAAGCATATATTGCCAGAGCGCCCTTTGAGACTGCCGGAGCGCATTGTCTCCATAATGTGTACTGCCAAAGTGCCTTATGCTACTGCCGGAGCGTTGTGTCTTCAGTGCCGGAGCGCCCTATGCAACTACCAGAGCGCTATGGTTCTAGGCATGAATTGTCGGAGTGCTTTTGAGACTGTCGGAGCGCATTTTCGTAAAAAAAAGGGGAATTTTGTACGGGAAGGGCATTTTCGTTAAAAAAAAAGATTTTTGTTTGGTTAGGGGTATATTTGCATGGAAAGTACACTTTTGGGAAAAAAATGAGATAAAAGGTTTGGATGGAGGTAAGTTGCATAGATAGTGTATTTTGGGGTTTTTTGTAATTTTTCTTAAATATTTTCCCTTTATAAAATCAATGACACCATGAATTTATTGAAGGCCAGGAATTGTACAAGGTGTCTACCTTATACTATACAAGTAAGGCACACCTCTAAATCATGCACTCATGATGTGGTATTGATGTCATAAACTCTAGAGATAGAATAGAATGAGGACATTTATCTTTGATACAAGGTGGTCACAGTAATCCCGTCTACTGAATGTAAAATTGGGTGGCTGCAATTATTCCATTAACCAAGCTCAAACTTCTAAATAAATTTTATCGAACTTTGTGACACATCTAAGGTATCAAATTTCACATCAAATGATTATAAAAAATTGTGACTACCTTATATGAAAGGTAAATAGTCTCATTGTATACAATCCCTAAACTTTCTGATGCCATTAAATTTTATGTTCAACACTAATTATAAAATTTACACTTTTTTAAATAATGCAAATACGATAGGTTTATATGCACTATTTTTAAAACTCGAGATTCTTTTTTTTTTTTATACATATCGAGATCGAGATGAGCAATTCAAAGGTTCTTAACATTGAAATACTCCTTTTTAGTTGCTGTTTAGCATCGTGTTTGGATATTATAAGGTTGTAACCTTGTGTATATTTTTTTCTTCGTTAGAATTCTAAGTCAAGATTTTATGTTTTCTTATATTAGAATTTACATTGCAACATTGCATATAGTTAACCCACTTAGGTCTATTTTCCCTCATCTTATCACATATTGAAGCGACATCTAAGTTTTTTTTATATATGTTCATTCCAAATTCAATCTTTTCTTGTAGCACTATGCACTCTCTCTAGCACTATCATTTTCCCAATCAAAAGGTATAAATCCACTTTCTAAGTCAAAACCACTTTCTAAGTCAATTCAATAATGGAAAATGGTTTAATAATGGAAAATGGTTTAATAGGGTTGCAGTCGGATAAAAACATATGAAGCCTCGCCTCATAAGGTATAGATCCACTTTCTCAGCAAAACCATTTTCTAAGTCAATTCAATAATGGAAAATGGTTTAATAGGGTTGCAGCCGGATAAAAACATATGAAGCCTCGCCTCATAATTCTTCAAAAATTGTAATTTAAGTATTGGAAGACCTTTACATCCATCATTGAACATTATGGTGAAATTTGAATTTTAAGATCTAAAAATAATGTATATTGTAACAAAATATTCCATTTTGCCATAAAAAATAAATCTTCAAAGATCTTCAAGTATCATTTATTGAGGTTCAAATTTTTTTATTGGTGTTGAAAATTGATTTTAGAGCCATTGTAAAGATTTTTGCCGTTAAAATGCTTTCCAAACGAAGATTCGAGGTGAGGCTTTATTTTGTTTTCATAGGGCTTTGGCCTTATAAAAACTACATCCTTCAATCATTTGAGTTTCACTCTTTTTCTCTACTTTCTTTTGGGCTTGGTTCAGCATGGCTACTTATAACCGGTGAGATGTCAATCACTCTCTTGCATTAGGGTGTGGTTCTCATAAGGTTGCAATTTTATTAGGGTGTGGTTCCTATAAGGTTGCAATTTTATTAGGGTGTGGTTTTTATAAGGTTGCAATTTAAACAATCTAATCAAGGTGCACCTTCAATTTTTATTATAACATATGATTTTGGTATAAAATATTGAAAAATTTTCTCTATATCTCTAATTTTTTAAATTTTCTTTTAAAAAAACTAAAATTTTAAAACCTTTATAATTACATAAAATCCCATTCTTCTGTATCTTCCAAACCCCTCAACCCAAAAACAAATAAACACTTTTTTTTTCTCTTTCATTTTAATGCCCTTCTCTCAATAGCTTCTCTTTGCCTCTCTCAAAAAGGAGAATGACGTCTGTTTCTCATCTCTCTCCCAAGCAAAATGGTTCTTTCCTCTCTCTATAAGGCTAGCAGTACGAAAGGTTTTTAAACTTGGGGTCTTTTAATAATTGAGTCACAAAAACGGGGGGATACAATCAAATTTTTTTTAATTTTTTTTTAAGATTATTTTAAAATCTATTTATATATTTAATAATAAAAATTTAAATTAAAAAAATCAATTAGATCTATAAAGATGTGAAAATTTTAAAAATTGAAAGTTTAGATAATGTGTCAAAAAATACTATTATTTTTTTAATTTTTTTAATTTTTTAATATTCATAAATCTCGATGTCAAAGATGATGAATTAGAAGGTTTTTCATCATCAAAAAAGACTTTTTCTATGGATTTTTTTAGGTGCATCTTTAATTCTGAATTTTAAGTTTGCAACCTTATAAAAACTTTTTCCCTTGCATTAATGGGTTTTTTTTTTTGTGTGAGAGAGGGAGGTTGGCAGAGAGGGAAGTTTTAGACTGGGTCTAGTGACTTTGCGGGTTTTGTTTCTTGTTTCAGTAGATGCCTGGAATTGCTTCTGGTGCACAGAGGCTGTGAATTTTGTATGTGGTCGTCAAGCAGTGCTCCACTCCTTACAGAGAGATTGTGCTGGAATTCATCCACAAGAGAGAAAACAGAAAACAGAGTGCCCAATTCTTAAGAGAGAGAGTGAGATATGCAATTCCACTCTTCCCCCACCTATCTCCCAAGCTCAAGTTCAATCGGGATCCTTAGAGAAAAAATTGTTTGAGAACGCGATGGAACGCGATGGCCTTCTGCAACAGAGCGACCCACATTGATGCCACATGATTGCTTGGAATGATCCCTGAAATACAGTCAATGAGATTCTTAGACATTATAAGCAATTGGTCAATGATATTAGACGAATCAAAGCTGGTTAAATTAATCTTCCAATTTATAACTCCTCTGGTTTTTGAATGGATTGCTTTTCGGGTGATTCTCAAGTGTTGGACGGCCTGAAGAACGGCTCTCAGATGGTCTTTGTGACGCCACACAATCAGGAGAGGAAGAACCCTTGGTCTGAATGAGCACAGGTTTCTCACTCTAGACCCTCTGAATACAGTCACCCACTTCTTCTTTTTTTTTTCCTTTAATTGCTCTCTTGTTAGTTTTGGTGATCGTACTTCTTGCTATCATGCTTTAAATTGCTCTGGAGAGAGAGAAATTTCCTATGTCAGAGTTCATGAACTAGTATGTTGAATTGAGAGAGAGAGAGAGAGAGTATTCTTATCTGTGTATACTTTCTTGATGCATATTGTTTGTGTGTATACTGTACAGCTTCCTGTTAATTCAAAAACTGAGAGAGAGAGAGAGAGAGAGAGAGAGAGAGTATTTTTATCTGTGTGTACTATGTTATGCATATTGCGTGTGTATATGCTATACAGCTTCCTGTAAGTCCAAAAAACTGTGGCATTTCACACCCAGCTAACTACCCCATAATCCTAATTTATACACACATATCGAAAGAAGCTCGGAAAGCGAACTACCAATACTATCAATCCTTCTAAAGAAACTTCATTCATCCAACCACTTATTTGCAGTTCCCGGTTGGCCTCTTGTACTTGTACCAGTTTGCTATAAAGAGATAAACCACAAAGTTTATCAGGCTAAGAATGGCCAAAAGCCAAAACAAGTAGTCGATATGGCCGTAATTCAAGTTATCAGGGATCCATCCAGGCTTGCCATTCGTAGTTGTGATATGGGTCACAATGATCACGAGCAAAGTGCTCGAGTAGCTGCCGAGAGCAGATATAGTGAGAGCGAGAGCATTGCACATGCTCCTCATTGCATCAGGGGCCTGATCATAGAAGAATTCAAGGTGCCCAATAACTGTGAAAACCTCAGCTGCCCCAATAATGAAATATTGAGGCAATTGCCAAAATATGCTCATGGGGATGCTATCAAGATCATAATCGTCATGGATACGAACTTGCTCGAGCCTCTTGATCTCCACTACGGCAACCGTGGCAATGGCGATAATCGATATAACAAGGCCTATGCCTATGCGTTGTAGTTGGGTGAAGCCTTGGTCATGGCCTGTGAAGCGACGGGCCATAGGCACAATGAGGCGGTCATAGACTGGAACCCAGAATATAACGCTAAGGGTGTCGACAAGTGAGAGAGCAGCAGCTGGGATTTTGAATGAGCCCACACGACGGTCCATCTTGTCGCCTTGAAGAATAAACATGGTGGACATTTGACTGTAAACTGTTGCGAAGATGATGCCAGTTGCCCAAATGGGAAGGATTCGGATTATGGATTTCCATTCCTCAACTTGAGTTACAGAGCAAAGCTTCCATGGATCTGGGTGGGTCTTTATTTTGTCGGCCTCGGTCTCCACAGCTGCTTTGTCAAAGAATCTGCAATTAAAGGAACACATTGACATTGTTGAGATTTAGGCAGGAGAAGTTAGGTAAGATAAGTTGGAGTGTCTTTTTTGTTGTTGTTGTTATTCTAGATTGGAGGCTGGAGAGAGAGAGAGGGGATGTGGCTCATTCCAGAAAGGGTTACAGCAGTGTAACAACAATCGACTCGTTCAAGTTACTCAAACCTTGGCCAAGGTGAGTTACTCGGGCGTGTCCGATTAACTCGTACGAGTCTAGCCCAACTTAAAAAAATAAAGATAAAGACAAACAGTGTAGTATATATTATATCAGCTCCTTTTTTTTTTAACATCAAACATTAAATGGCATGTTGGCGGGTCTGATGCGCTCAAGGGATGCCACTTTGCATCAGGTCTTGTTTTCGATACACATGGGTGTACAGTAAAAGTTGACCGAGTAACTTGGTCGAGTCAGAGTGGACTCGGGCAAGTCCCCGTCCACTGGGTTACAGTGTTCTTTCAGTGCTTCAATACTAGGTGTCAAATATACAATGCTCAGAGTGCACCAAGGCCATGGAGCTTTGTTTTAGGAAGAAATACATTTATGAAGCCTGATGTGCGCTAGTGGATGTTTAGGCATGGATCAAAGTCAAACCATACAATTTCCCATCCAAACTCTCAAGTAACTTACATCTAATAATCTAAATGTATCAGATCTCTGCTCCATCTAATGGCTATGTATTTATGAGTCTAAAGATTACTGGAATGAGCAATTAAATAGCAAGATTTACGTGAATTCATCGGTGGATTCCAGCTTCCGGCTCCCTGGAATGGCTGACTCCTCTTCAGCTGTCTCATAAAGTAGAGACTTATCAGACGGCACCAGGACTCTGGACTTCCTTATGGAAGCAACAAGCACTTGAGCAATACGAGTTAAGGGGCTCCCTCCAGGCTTCTGGTTCCTATACAACCGAGTTCCTGCCAAGAAAGAGATGATGGCGATTGCCATGGCCACAGTTGGTATCCCGAAACCCCAACCCCAACCTATATTCTCTTGGATCCAAACCAAGAGAGAGGAAGCAATGAGAGCCCCTATATTGATAGAGAGATAGAACCAATTGAAAAAAGAGCTCTTCTTCTTCTTCTCGTACTCATCAGCATCATCGAATTGGTCAGCCCCAAAAGACAAGACACATGGTTTGATGCCCCCGGTTCCTAAGGCAATGAGGTACAGAGACATGAAGAACACTGCAACTTGTCCATCGTTTGCGTGGCATTGGTTATCGTGGCAAGTAGGCCTCAACCCTCCAACTGATGCTGATAGAGTCAGTAAGGTCATCCCCTGCTACCCATTATGAAACCAGATGATAACTTCAATGGGTATGGTGATATATCATGAATTCAGCATAAATATGTATTTCCCTTCTTTTTTACTTACAGATGTACACGATGGCCCCAATAAATAACAGGGTTTTAGGAGCATGTTCTCTATTGTTTTCATCTTGTGTTTCTGTTTTTATTAATACATAAACAGCTTTGATGTGAGTCTTTCTTTATACTTTTTTGGCAAGTTCTGTCCATCAACTCTTTTGACAAACTAAGGCATCTGAGCTAGCAACGTTTGAAGAATAAATAAAAACATATGCTTTTTTTTTTTGGGTAGATAAGAAAAACATATACTTGCAACATACATAAGACTACATGCATACCTACATATGTACATATGAATATACATAGATGAACATGGACATACACATGCATGCACATGTGTTTGCGGATAGTATGTTAGAGCATCAAGTACTTTCACAAAAGCATGAACTAATCAGCTTACAACAACATAAATAGCAGAGAAGACCACAATAACCCTATATCGACCCCAGAAAGCATCGGCCACAAATGCTCCAACTACATGCATACACACATACATACATATGTACATACAAATATGCATAGATGAACATGGACATACATGCATGCACATGTGTTTGTGGGTAGTATGTTTGAGTAAATCAAGTACTTCACAAAAGCATGCACTAGCGATGCTTACAACAACATAAATAGCAGAGAAGACCGCAATGACCCTATATCGACCCAAGAAAGCATCGGCCACAAATGCTCCAAGTAGTGGCATGATATAGCATGTTCCCGTCCAGTTCGTGACATTATTGGCAGCGACAGCATTTGATTGATGTAGACGATATTTCATGTAATTCACCAAATTGGTACTCATTCCATAGTAAGCCAGTCTTTCGCAGCCCTCGTTGCCTGAGAAGGAACACAAATCCTAATACTCAAGCCTAAACTTACATGACAAATTCGGTATTTTAGATAATAATATATAACCGATTGACTAGGAAAATTTCCATATTTCTTTACTTTTCTATTTTTAAATAATTTGGAAATTAGGAAAATTTCCAAATTTCTGAAATATTAGCGATGGCTTGAAATTTATTTTCGTCTCTAATTACATCATTTAAATCTTAAAAAATAGTGTAGATCGAAAAGATCTATAAACACTTGAAAATATTGAAAATTGGTAGCCCAGATAATGCATTACAAGATGCACTATTTCCCATACTTGAAATCCTTTTTTTTTCATGTCTAGATATCTTGTAGCCGAGATAATCGATTTGAGGGTTTTTTTGACATTGAAGCAACCTTTTCTAGTGAATATTTGAGGTGAGACTTAATTTGATTGTTTAGGTCCTCACCCTTTATATAAACCTTTTCCTTTACAATAAGCAAGTTTGTAAAAATGACACATTACATATGAATACTCTCTTATTTTAGACCAGAATACCTCCAGATGGACTTAGTGCATATGGAAATTTGAATAATCAGAAGTGACTAGTTGCCTGTGAAAGCCTCATATTTTAGCTAATAAATTGTACCAAGGATGAAGGGGCAGGCTCTCCAAGTTCCTGTTTTGGCCTTGATTGCAGGTTTCCCAGTATGATCCACTGTTCCATCTTGGGTGTAGATAGCAGGATCACTCATGATTGCTGTGCAATTGAACTTATTCTCTGGTCTTTCACCTTCAATTCTAGAATCAATATGTTTTTATGGTTAGTTGTAATTAAAGCACTTTAACATGAGATTCATCAGAATCAATCCACACCATGCCATTGAAGACATATTATGCATGCCAAAAATGAGCAAGTTTTTAGGAGTTACTTACACAAGGTCTTTAAACTGCTCTTTGTGTGGAGAAAGAACCTGGAAGAAAGACATCAGAATGCAAGTCTTATGTTTGATTTGTATAACATGCATTAAAAAAAAAGAAAAAAGAAAAAAAGATCATACATATTCATAATTATATATCTTGGGCTTGAATCTCTTGAGGAACGAGACATACATAAATATGTATGTACAGAGAACAATATTTCACAACCCAGCAATTCCTGATCTGGATTGCTAATCTAAATTGGGACCGAGCCTGTCTTTAGATTCAGAAATAAAAGAAAAATATATATAAATGCACATGTATACAAAATTCAATGAGCTCCATGCCTCATAAACCACAAAACCAAACATGAAAAGGCAAAGAGCAGTGAACTATGCCTTGCTGCTGCATATCCAGTGGACTCGATGAGTCCCGGCACACTGGAGCAAGTTGAGTGGACTCGATAAGTCCCGGAACACTGCATCAAGTTGTAGAAAGCAAATTCAGATACATACAAGTCCTGACTGAAGTCAAGACAGAGACATGGAATTAGAGGCTGAGGAAGGGCGATCAATTCAATGGTCTGTCCACAATTTTTACCAATATTGAATGTTGCCACTGAGATAGTACAGTTTGGAAGGACAAAAGCTTAAAAAGCCAGGTAAAACCACATGATATAGAAAGGATTAATCTATGAAAATTAGAACATAATTGAATGCTAAAAAATGTTCAAAAATTGAAAAATCAAATTCAGTGACATGAAATAGAAGAGTAATTGAAATATGCATGCAGTTAGATACACTACTGTTTGAGTGGGTCATTCTAAGAAGAAAGGAATGAACAAGGAAAATATACTAAGATGGGCCCCTACTATTGACTGATATGAACGAAACTGAAAAAGAAAAAGGAAAAAAAAGAAAAGAAAAGAAAAATATCATCTAATGAAAAAGAAATAGGGAAAAGAGAGAAGAAAAAGAGGGAAAAAAAGAGTTTTATGGGTTAAAACACATAAAATAATCTTAAAATCCCTACAAAAGGGGTATCTCAGCTCAGACAATTGAAGGCTAAATAAAACTAAATGCCCCAAAAAGTACTTTAAGAAATACAGATTTTCGCTTCCAAAGACACGAGAAATTGATGCAATATACATGGAAGGAATACCCACTCCGAATGCTTAGCATGAGGAACATACTGTACAACAAATCCCTCGGGAAAAACAGTAACTTGGGATTTTCTTTTTTGTTTTTAATCCAAAAATTTGGAATCCATCTAAATAGATGATTATTTTCAAGAAAATAAAAGAAATTTAGATTTTAAGTTCTTGAACACCTAGAAATATGTTTTTTTTTTTTTAAGGACATGGACAATCCTATTTATTTTTATTTATTTTTGATGTTGATTATACGGTTCTAGAGGCTACACGCACAAATTTGATATCCAAAAAAATTTTTTAGCATGAGTTTTACTAGATGGAGCAAATGCACAATATGCTCCAGTGCAGCAAATATTTTCACCATAGGAGCACAGATAAATCAACAAATAAAATAAAACATAAAAACAAAAAGCTCAAAGACTGAAATGGAAGAAACTGAGAATTTTGTAGGTCTGAAAAGTAGAATACCTTTTTTTAAAAAAGAGCAAAAAAGAAAAAGAAAGACAGAGGCTGAAAAAAAGAAGCGATTGGGTGCCTTAAAAAAATAAGAAAATAGGATATATTACCCAATTTTAAGTATTTAATGGGCATTTTTTAACCAACCAATTAAATGATCAATATCCATTCAAATAAATAAATAAATAAATAAATAAATAAATAAACCACCGACAAAAGAATAAAGCCAAATAAACTGAGAAAAATATTGAAACAATAACAAACAAGGAAACTGTATCAAATTTCCAAAACACATTGTTCCAAAACACTAAATATCCAAAAATGAAGAAAATAAATTACTTCATACCCCATAATTCCCACTTTAAAGTTCAAAACCCAACAAAAATCCCAAGAAAACTATTAAAAAAATTACTAGAACAGAAATCCTGAGTTTTTACCAGAAGCTTAATCAAGACCTCAAGCACCAAAATCCGGCCACTGAACCAATAAATTCGGACCACATTTCCAGCAAAAATTAAGCTTTGGACCAAGAAATTCCCACCACTTCTCTGGCAAAAACTAAGCTCTGAACTAACAAATTCCGACCACTTTCTTCTTTTGAACTTAACAAATTCCGACTACTTTTCCGGCGTAAACCAAGCGCAAAGAGGAAGAGAATTCATTAATTACAATTACAAGTAGAACCCAAGAAGAAGAAGAAGCCACAAACACTATCTCTCTCTAAAGCTCTCTCTGGAGATTTTCTCAAAAATCAAAGGGATTAAAAGAGAATAAAAAAGGAAAATAGAGAGAAGGAAAAAAAGAGCGATCAAATAAAGAGAGTTAAAAAAGGGAATGAAGTAAAGACGAGAGAGGAACAGAGTATATGTGCCCTTGCCATAAAAGTTTGAAACTCTACAAGTGATGGTATTGTGGATGGGGTGTGCGTGTGAAAAGTAGAGTGAGAAGTGAGAGATGAGAGAGAAAATTATGAGAGAGAGAGAGTGAGGAAGAGAGAGAGAGAACTTGTATTGTACAGGACTTATAAAATACCAGAGAGAGAGAGAGAGAGAACTTGTATTGTTTTTTGAATGAAAAGAACTTGTATTGTTGAGAGAGAAAATAGAGTTAGAATGATTGTTATCTAACCGCTAATTTTCTGGTTAGAGAAAAGAAAAAACAGTTTTCCAGGTTAGAAAAAAAAAAATTTTTTTTGGGCAGTTTTGGTGATCCACAGGTATTTAAAAGATAATAATAAAAAAACATGTATATAAATTCTAAAAAATAAGGAATTTGGTTTACAATGTTTTTTTTTTAATATTTTTTACATTATGATAAAGATTAAAATTTTTTTTGTCATTAATACTCATTTTAATTCAAAAATCGATTCGTTAAAATCTATTGTTTTTTCCATTAAATTTCAACTTTATTTGAATGTATTTTGTTTTAAACATTCTTTATATGCTTTTCATGTTTTTGTAGATTTTTTTTTGTATATTTTTTATTTTTTCAACACTTTTTTGAATGCTCGGGACTTGCCCAATTAGAACGGTTGAATTGGCCTGTTTACCGGTTAAGCTAGTTAAACTGTTTTCGGGCCCGTGTTTGGTTAACCGTTCCGATTTGATTTTGCGAATACTGGTTAGAATAGAGTAAGATGGAGAAAATGATGAAAGAACGAGAAGGGCGAGGCTGTAACAATCCTAAAATTTCAAAAAAAAAAAAAAAAAGGGAGAAAAGATGCTTTTAAATAGGTGATGGTCTGTTTGAGTATGATGGTCCTTGGGGACCATCACTATTTTCAAAAACTTTTACTTGGTTTAAAACTTTTGCTGCTGCTTTTGTTTGCAGCCTTTGCAGTTGCTGCTTGCAGCTGGCAACGTCCTTTAGCGGACGTGGTCTTCGTATGCTGAAAACAGACGCTTAACGCGACACCTCAGGGATGAGGTAGAGCGTAATAAAATATTATAATAATACGTTATAAGAATTTAAATAGGGGATGTGAGCACTCCCACCCTAAAAAATTTTGAGATCTCTCTCTCTCTCTAGTCGAAACACAGTGAACTCCTCTCTCGAACCGAATTTTTTATCGGAAGCTCCCTCTCAAACATTTGTGGGTAAGTGACATCGTTTTCCTGAAAAATAGTCTATTTCTAATAAATAGTAATATTTTCGTCTAGGATCTTTATTTTATCAGTTTTATGTGTAAGTGACATCGTCTTCCTGAAAAATAGTCTATTTCTAATAAATAGTGATATTTTCGTCCAGGATCTTTATTTTATCAGTTTTATGTGTAAGTGACCTCATTGTCTCAAAAAATAATCCATTTTTTTTAAAAAATAAAATGAAATAATTATTTTTGCTTATTATCATGAATTTTAGGCGCGATAAATTTTATGCGCACGTGATCTCATTATCTTGAAAAATAATCTTTTTAATAAAAATTGTGATATTTTATCTATGTTAGAAATTTTGAATGCTGGAAATTAGAAAAATAAATTTATTTATTTTTCTTGTCTATTGTTAGAAATAAATGTGATATTTCTGCTTTTAGTAAAATTGTGATATTTCTTTATACTGTTTTGAATATTTAGACATTGTAAACTTCATGTGCAAATGACTGCCTTATTATTTAAAAATTGACATT